AACAAAGAACCACAACCACAATCAAGTAGATGTTTCGGGGTGGGCCTTCGGGGGAGAACCCATCGACCTCGATATGAGCGTCCTGGGGCGCCACATCGACCACAACCAGTACGAAGCTGGTTTCGGTGTTCCGACAGACTTTGGCATGCGCGAGACATCTTCCAGGGTGCGTCCTCGATGTGGCCGTTGTCGCCGACCTGTCCTCGCAGGCAGGCGGCGGAGTTTTAGCGCTACAGCCCAGAACTTTCGCTTAGCAAGTCGCTCCGCTGCTTCTGGCCCACCGCGCTTCGGCGCGACACGCTATTCACAGCCCAGTACCCGCGCCAGAGCTTCGCGAGCCTCTCCCGAGCGTCCCGCCCAGCGGAGCGGGGCGGCCCGCTAATTATCCCCCCTGCAGGCCCAGCGTGTCGCCAGGGCCGCCGCCGCGACACGCTGAGCAAAAGTTCCTGGCCGCAGGGAGGGATAGGAGGAGGAGGAGGAGGAGGAGGAGGAGGAGGAGGAGGAGGAGGAGGAGGAGGAGGGAGGAGGAGGAGGAAGAGGAGGAGGAGGGAGATGCATCGACCCCCGATCACCCATTGATCGCTGATACGAGCTCGATCGCCCACCTGTGCCAGGAGCGTGTCGTATACATGTAACGGGGTACCGGGTCCGGGGGCCGGGGGCCCGCGCCCCGACCACAAATGTGGGGCCGGGGCGTCATTTTCATCATGTGTTTTTTACGGGTGTTCGGCGACCCGGGGTCAACAGGGCCCAAAGAGGCTGCAGGGAGGCCCCAGGAGGCCGCAGCGATGGCTCCAGACGCATTTCAAGACGACTCCCATGACGCCAAGAGGGCCCCCGAAGGCCCCGACGACGCCCCAAGTGGCACCCCGAGAGAGGCCCAATAAGCAAAAATTGTGATTTCCGATGGGGAAACTGGTATTTTTGGCGTGTTTACCTTTTGAGCGTCCACTGCGTCCACGACGGCGCAAGAGGCACCCAAGCCGGTCGAGGATGCCCCCAAGAGGGCCCCAAGACGGCCCACGAGGGGGCCAAGACGGCCCACGAGGCGCCAAAACCGCCCAAGAACGCCCCAAGGCGGCGCCCAAGACGGGGACGAGGAACCGGAAATTTTCCAGTTTGGGCTCAAAAGAGACCCCCAAAAGATCCCAGGAGGCTCCAAGAAGGGACCCCCATGAGATCCGAAACCCGAAAAAGCGCCAAAAGAGGCCCCGAAACAGCCCTCTAATGGGCCCCCCAAAAGGGCCCAAGAGAGCCCCAGGGCGCGCCCAAGAGGGTCGACCATAGAGCTGGTCCGACTTTCCACAGTCTACACAGGGTCCGTTCCCGTTGGTGCCTCTTGCAGGTGTTGCCACTGGAGTCCTCACTTGCCTACGACAAACTTCAATCTTTTGTTCGCATATCCCGTGTCTGTGACGCGCTAGAACCTCAGCGCGCGCGAAGCTCGCGCGTGGTTCTAGTTTCGATGTCGCTGGTCTTATCGCTGATCTTTCAGCCTATTTCAAGTCGGTGTCTCCCCCCCTGGCGCCGTTCCACCCTTCTCGTTGCCCTTCATTGCTGCGAGACGCAAGCACTCTTGACTCGGGGGGTCCTCAGTTGGCCAAGTCATCGGCGGGCCCGCGCTGTGTTTTCGCGGCGCGGCGACGCCGGCACGGACGCTCGGCCAGTGTTGGTCGATCGCTCAAGCCAGGGACAACGTTCGGGGGATGGGCTCAGGGGGGGAATATCGAGCCCCGACTGCACCTTCTAGGGCTATGACGCCCCAACCTACTCTAGCCTTGGTCACTCGGGAGAAGTTCGAGCGCCCCAACAAGTACCGAAACTCAAGTGTTTTCACGTGTCGGGCCCTGGGAGACACTCGCCCGACACTGTTTCGACACTCTTTTGACACTGTTCCGGGTGCTCGAAATTATTGCTGGGATGTGGTCCTGAAAACGATGGGAGCAGCATAATTCTAGGGGCCTGATCGCTCACCCCGCCCAGGAGCGCTCGGTTTCGCCATCGGGGGGCGCATCTCCGACCCCCCCCCCGAGGCACCCCCCCTGTCGTTGCCCCTCGTCAAGGTCGAAGGATCTGCGGCGTGTCGGAAACCACGCCATCGCGACGGAAACCACGCCTGCCCGCATCCACGGTCTCGGGGTCGTGTCTCGGGGCCTCCGCGAGGGCGGCTGGCGTGGATGTCTGCCCGCCCACCGCGGGGCGGGAGCACGCCCGCATCCGCCGCACGCCAGGGGCCCTGGCCAGGACTCCAGAAGTTGTAGACACTTGGGGCGGCCCAGAAGAGGCGCGAGGACCAGTGGAGTTGGCACCTTCTCCTCGGCGGAAGGCTGGCGGAGAAGGCTGGCGGGAGGCGGCGGAAGCAAATCGAGATCGCCTCCGCCGCCCGAACCCGGCGGAAGGCGGGCGGACGCCAGAGGAAATGAAAAACCTTCCTGCTGCTCCTCCTCCTCCTCCTCCTCCTCCTCCTCCTCCTCCTCCTCCTCTCCCTCCTCTCCTCCTCTACTCTCCCCACCTCCTCCTCCTCCTCCTCCTCCTCCTCCTCCTCCTCCTCCTCCTCCTCCTCCTCCTCCTCTCGATCGCCGACCCACGACGCCTTCGGTGCAACGCGGGAGGGCATACCTCCGCATCACGAGCGGCGAACGTACCTTGTCCCCGAGTGGCGACAACTGTTGTGGATCAGGGGCTTCTGGAACCCACCGTATGCCTGCTTCTCGGCGGTGCGGCAGGCGTCTGGCGATTTCTGCTTCCTCAGCTTCTCCGACCTCTGCGGGACGGAGCGGGGGGAGGCCGACTTTCTCGCGCTGGCGGGCCGTTTCGGCACCGTCTTCCTCGACGGCGTCCCCCGCTTCTGCGGGTTGGAGGACCCAGGGGATATCAAAGACGCCTACGACGAATCACCGCCGCCCCCTGCCCCTTTGGAAGCGCCTCTGTGGCCGACAGCTGGGCCAGAGCTTGGCCAAACTATCGGGCCAATTGTTCCCCGAGTCGGTTTGGAAAGACTTCGGGGGACGCGTGGGGGAGCAAGAAGAGGAGGAGGGGGAGGATGAGGAAACAGGAGGAGGAGGAGGAGGAGGAGAAGGAGGAGGAGGAGGAGGGCCTCTTGGGCGCCTCTTGGGGCACTCTTGGGGCCTCCTGGGAGCTTCCTGGGGGCCTCTTGGAGGGTTTGGGGGGGCATTTGGGGGCTTCCTGGGGGCCTCTTTGGCTGTCTTAGGGCGTTCCTGGGTTGTCTGACGCCGTCGGAAGCCGTCGTCTTGGGGCCCTCTTGGGGCATATCAGTGGTTCTTAGAGGCCATGTTGGGCGTCGTGGAGGCGTCTTGGGCCGTCTTGGGAAAATCAACGATTTTGGCCTCTCAGGGATCCCCAAGGCCGCGTCCGATCCGGCTTCGACTGAATTCGGCAGCCTTTGGGTGTTTTGAGCCACTCCATATCATTGGCCCACTGGGTGCCCAGGGGACCTCCCAAACACCTCCGAGGTCGTCCGAGGGGTCTTCCAGACGCCCCGAAGATCTTCAAGACCGCGAAAATTGGTTCAGAGGGCTCGGTCCTCCCGATGCCTCCCACAGGTCAGTTTCGGGCAGCTGCTCGGTCCATCTGTGCAGAGCAGCAGGATCTGTTAGGGCTTGCTTAGTCAGCGACTCCTCAAGCGCCCATCAGGGAGTACGCTCCCAGATGGTGATCCTTGCGGGCTTGGGTCCATGCTCATCCAGTCCAGTAAGTTGATTTGGACTGCGTGAAAACCTAAGCGCGCGCGAAGCACGCGCGTGGTTCTAGCAACGGTTATAGATATACACATGTGTATATATGTATAGAGAGAGATGCGTAGATGTATAATCGTATGCACCTGCTTGCCTATATACTGTCACTTCTTTTATTGCATACATGGAGGGAGAAGGAACTAACGACCTCGGCACACCAGTAGCAACTTGACTTTTACTTGCTGGGCGATGAGACTCCGGGGAGGGCACGGGAAGACAGCGGGAGTAACACTGTTGGGAGGCCCTCGTCGCCACCGCTGAACGCAGGTTGGGAGCGTCTGGTCCCTGAGATGTGTCCAGGGATCGGTTTGTTGCTGCACTTGTCTCAACTCGCCCTGCTCTGAGAGACCAAACGAGAGACCAAACGGAGGAGGATGAAGAATTGAATGCTACATGGTGGTGCACGTGGTGCACGTCGAAACTGCAATACAATAAACTTCACCGAGAGCAACATGTAGATGGAAGAGCGCGACGACATGGAGGAGCACCACGACGAAGGCGAAGCGCACATGGTGGAGGGGGAGAAAGAGGGGAAGAGGAGGAGAGCGGGAGAGGGAGAAGAGGGACGGGAGGAGGCAGAGGGAGGGAGAGCAGTGGGCGGAAGAGGGGGGGACAAGGAGGAAGAGGACGAGGAGGAGGGGGGAGGAGGAAGAGGATGGTAGAGGAGAAGAGGGGGGGGGCAGCGGCAACAGGCACCGTGCACCTGTGAGCACATCGTCTTTCCCTATCTCTCTCTGTCGCCCTCTCTATATATATATATATATATATTTTTCTTTTTCGCTATTTTTGTTTTTCTCTCGCTCTCTCTCTTTCTCTTTGTCTGGCTGTTGTGGCTCTGCGCCTGTTTCAAGATGCCCTCCGAGGCCGCCAGATACCCACCAGAGGGCAACAAGAACGAACGCGCCGGGCAAACTTCCATCATCGATCCTCTCTCGTCCCGTCCAGCGGGTCGCCGAATCCACCTGCACCACTCACCATAGGGGAAGCGGGTCCTGCGGGAATCAGGTCCTGAGGCTTTTCTCTGCCTCCGGCCACGGTCTTCTGCGCTCCTACCACGGTGTAGTAGACCCTCCTGGGCCTCGGCCAGAGCGGCCCCGGCAACGCGCGCTGTGGGCCTGCCAGAATGACCCTGTCAAGGCATGGTGGTGTACCCAGACATCCGACGACATGATTGTTTGAATGCGTGGCCCCAGAGGTCCCGAACCCTTCCCTGGGAGGCAGCTTTTCGTCCCTGGCACATATTTGATGATCCTGTGCCCTTCTTGCGGGCCCCTGGGGACGACATCGAGGCAAGGCGGCAGGACTGCGAAAATCAGATCGCCGGGGATTTGGGTGGAGGGGGACTCCTGCGCCAAACAGGATGCGGACCTGGTGCGGCGCTTCGTGAAGCTCCTCGACGTGCTGTACGACCGGCGCGTCCGCCTGGTGCTCGCGGCGGCCGCGCCCCTCGAGGAGCTGTTCGAGGGCATCCGCGCCGAGATCGGCAGGGGCTCCGCCGGGGACCTCGCGTGGCGCACCGCGCTGTACTCGGCGGACGGCAAGGTCCCCAGCGATAGATACTCGAGTCGTGGCGCTCTAGGCCTCCCAGGTTCAGGAGCAAAAGAAGGACGTACACGTCCGCCGGGGACCTTGCGTGGCGCACCGCGCTGTATTCGGCGGACGGCAAGGTCCCCAGCGATGCTCGAGTCGTGACGCTCTAGGCCTCCCAGGTTCAGGAGCAGAAGGAGGACGTGCACGCACACGAATCAGTCCGCGCTAGTTGCGAGAGTACGCATTGCGCTAACCTTCCTATCACGTCGCGGCTTGCATCGCAGACTGGAGGGCCGTGTTCATGCAGGTGGTTGGGTGCGTACGTCCTTGTGGGCTCCGTACAGATGGGTTCCGAGCAGCTAGGGCCAAACGATCGCGCCGCATCGCCGATGCCTTGGCGATGCGGCTCGATGTGGAGCCCGATGTTCTCCACGTCGATGGCGCCGATGATCGCCGACGTCGCTGGTGCATCGTCGGTGCATCGACGATGCGGCGCGGTCCTCCGGCCCCATCTATTCGAGGAGGAGGAGAAAAAGGAGGCGGAGGAGGAGGAAGAGAAGTAGGAAAAGGAGGGGGAGGAGGAGGAGGAGGAGGAGGAGGAGGAGGAGGAGGAGGGGAGGAGGAGGAGGAGGAGGAGGAGGAGGAGGGGGGGAGGAGGAGGAGGAGGAGGAGGAGGAGGAGGAGGGGGAGGGGGAGGAGGAGGAGGAGGAGGAGGAGGAGGAGGAGTGGGAGAGAGGAGGAAGACGGCGGCGGTGACGACGGCTGGCGTCCCGCCCCTCCCTCTCCCCTGCTCGTCCTCGGTTCGGCCGCTTCCCGTCAGTTGTTCTGCCGGTGCCACGGATTCACAGGCTCAGCCGGCTCAGTTGGCTGGCTGGTTCTTCGGGGCTCAAGAGTCAAGCAGTGGCGAAGCGTCCCGGCTCGCCTATAGCCCCACCAAACAATGTTCTAAGATTCTTTTGCGGTTCCCACGACATGTTCTTAGAACATATCAACATATCTGGCTGATATTGTCTTGTTTTAACACATCGGGTCTATATTATCGGAACATTGTTGATGTTCTTAGAACACTTTCGGGTTCTAAGAACATTTCGTGGTATGACTATAGGAATGCCGGGACGGTCGGTCCCTGCTCAACAAGAGACGGGGGGCAATGGACACGGGGGTCAGTCAGAGCGCCAGATTTTGCCGGATCTTGCAGGGCCAGGGTTGCCCTGACCTGCGCTCTGGCGCAGGAGTCTCCAGGATCCTGCAGGATCCTGCAAGGCCAGACTGGCCCTAGTAGTCTGGATTGGTTCAGCCAGTGGCGCGGTTCACGCGATCGGTTCGTCGGTTCGGGTTCAGCGGTTCGGGTCGCGCGGGGCCATCCTGGCGGCTGACTTTTTTTCGCAATGTTCGACCTCCGGGGGCCCCCTTGCCAGGCCCCTGGACAGTCGGGAAACGACTCCGGATGAAGCATGGCCCTGGGGAGCGGGTCTTTGGACACCCGAGATAGGCACGGAAAGAATGGGCACCATGCCCAACAACAAATGTTGTCCCAAGCCAACAGCGGCCGCTGTTGGGCAGGCGGCCTTCTGTCTCGAATGGACACAGGCCGCGGCGGCGTGGACAGCGAAACTGTTGAAAATGAACAGGAATTGTTGTTGAGCATTGTGCCCATTCTTTCAGTACCCATTTCGGGCGTCCAAAGGGTCGGGCCCCCCCGTGCTCAGACAAAAAAAGATGCCGGATGTTTGGGCATCGGGGGAGACTCACACACGAACATGAGCGTTCGGAGGTCCGCGCAGATTTGTCTGGTCGGCGCTGGAGCCCCCACCTCCTGGCATCGCTCGGACGTGTGCCATTTTTTTCCGGCGAGGACCATCGAGGAGCATCCTTGAGCATCTGGCGAAGAAAAGCCACACACGAAACCGAAACGAAAACACTGGATAGATGGACGTCCGAGCGACGGATAGACCTTTGGCGTGCGGGGAGCACGCCAGGGGTCTGGCGCCGGGCGCCGCCAGGCGGAGAGCCCGGGCGCCGACCGCAGGAGCCCCCCCTGGGAGCGCCGAGCGCCTGCGCGTGTGCAGTTTTTGTTCGCCTCCTCTCGGAGGGAGGCCGTGGCGAGGCTTCCCGGCCGGACCATATTCGGGCCGGGCGAGAGGGGGGGATTGGGAAAGGGGGTCTACGACATTTGCTGCATGCAGCTGGTTTCGGCCTCACCGAGGGGCCCATTCCTCGATACATGGCCGCCTCCGGCGCCGTGAGGCGCCGGGAGAATCAGCTACGTGAGCTGATTCTCAAACCCCCCCTTTCGCCCGACCCGATATATGCCCGCCAAAGAATGTTCCAAGAACCTCTTGTGTTGTGTGTACGAAGAGTTCGTAGAACAGTTCTGGCTGAGGCGCTCTTGTTTTGAAGCACTGGTTTGATGTGCTGAGGACTTTGGTTGTTCCGAGCTTCTTAATAAGCGTCGGGGGGGCGTCACCCCCGCCGACAGCCCCACATCGACCCCCGTCGCGGGCAGCCACCGCGCGCCGAAGGCGCTCCGACCCCCGTCGCGGCGCGACGACGAGGCGAGGTTGACCCTCGTCGTGGGGGTACCCCTCCACGCCTTTTGACAAACCCCGAGCATGCTGTTAGAACACGCTTCTCTGTTCTAAGAGTGGTGGGCCTGTAGCCATGCCGAGACAGGCGGGCCCTTCTCAAGTCTGCGTCTGTGCACCTGCTCGTCCTCCTCCTCCTTCTCCTCCCCCTCCTCGTCTTCCTCCTGTTCCTCCTCCCCCCCTCCTCCTCCTCCTCCTCCTCCTCCTCCTCCTCCTCCTCCTCCTCCTCCCCCTTCCCCTCCCCCTCCTCCTCATCCTCCTCCTCCTCCTCCTCCCCCTCCTCCGGAGGTCGGGATGGCCCCGACCGCCGTGGGCACCCTCTGCGAGGGCGTGCGGGCCACGGACCGGGCCGAGTCTCGCCTGCGGGAGATGCGCACCGGGCGGTACTGGGAGGGCTGCAGGGCCGCGTCGGCCGGGGCGCCCTGAGCAAAAGCCGGAGGAGGCGGAGGAGCAGGAGACGGAGACGGAGACACACAGACACAATGCATCGTCGACTCCCAGGAAGATATAGGAAAATATGGGAAGTGGGGGGGACGACGAAAACCCCGAAAACATTGGGAAATATGGGGAATCCTGCTATTTGTGCGTATTCATTGGTGTGTTTGTTGCCAGCACGTGGCCCAGGACGAGAAGCTGGCCCTCGAGGGAGGCCCGGGGGTCCTCAGGACCCGTTCCTTTCGGGACCCGCGTGCCTCACTCAAGCAGTGGCGAAGTGTCCCGGCTCGCCTATAGCTTTACCAAACAATGTTCTAAGAACCGTTTGTGGTCTCCAGGAAGTGTTCTTATAACATGTCTGGCCGGGCCTGTCCTGTTTTAACGCATCGGGTTCACGTTCTAAGAACATTGTTTCTGTTCTTAGAACATTTTTGGGTTCTGAGAAAATTTCGTGGTAGGACTATAGAAATGCCGGGACGGTCGGTCCCTGCTCAAGGGGAGGAGGTCGGGAGCCTTGAGACGAGGGTCAATGCAAACGGGGGTCAGCCAGGGCGCCCGATCTTGCAGGATCCTTCAGGGCTGGGGTCGCATTGACCCGGGTTTGGGTGCAGGATCTTGCAGGATCTTGCAGGATCCTTCGCGTTGACCCAGATTTGGGTGCAGGACCTCGCAGGATGTTGCAGGATCTTGCGAGGCCTAACTGACCAGGGTCTGGATTGACCCGGGTCTCAGCAGATCCCCGAGGAGGAGCAGGGGGGAATGGGGATGGGGTGGAGGAGGAAGAGGAGGAGGGGGGGGGGGCAGGTGAGAGGAGGCACGCATCACCCGCCCACTTTGGAAGGGGAAGGAAGGGCCTAGCCACGCACGTTCGGAGCTCCGCGCAGGTTTCTTGGATCCGCGCTGGGCCCCCCTGGTGGCGCCTCTGGCGCCGCCCCTGGCGCGCTCCGCGCCAGGGAGGGGAGTCCAGCGCCGCTCCCCAAAAAACCGCACGTCATTCCGAACGTGCATGCTCACTGCATGCAGTTCGGTTCCCTCTGGATCCCTCGGAGGAGGGGCAATCCCTGGTCGCTGGCCACTGGCGTCGGGAATGGACCCTCGCCAGGGTGACAACAAGATCTGCTTGGATGGGGACTGCCCAGCTGTTCTCTCAGCCTTTTCCGGGGCCCCCCGCTGCGCCTTCCCCCGCAGACAGGCCGCGGGCAAGAGCGGGATGAGTATAGGAGCGGGATGGGGATGACTTGCAGGAGAGATGACACGAAAAGGAGAGGAGGAGGAGGAAGAGGAGGAGGAGGAGGAGGAGGAGGAGGAGAAGGAGGAGGAGCAGGAGCAGGAGCAGGAGGAGCAGGAGGAGTTGGAGGAGCAGGAGGAGGAGGAGCAGGAGGAGGAGGTGGAGGAGGAGGAGGAGGAGGCCACAGCAGGAGCAGGAGGATCAAATCTACAGAGGTACACTGGGAGCTGGTGGGGAGAGGAGGTTAAGGATGGGGAGGGGGAGGAGCTGGAAGGGGAGATCGAGGAGAATGGGCAGGAAGGGAGAAGGATCAGCAGCTGGTGGAGGATGGGGAAGCTGACGCGCTGGGTCTGGCAATAGGGCCTGCAGATAAAAAGGTAGTCCAATAATTGCCGCTAGATGTCGGGAGGGGGAGGCCGCCGTGGCTGATGTCGTTCCTACTTCTTTTCTTCGGCCTCCTCGTCCTC